AAACCTACCTCACTTGCTGTGCATTGTCGTTTCTGTGGCTTTAAATGGCCAATTTGAGCGATTTGGCGGGTTTTGCGTCGACTGTTACTATACGTTATAAGAAGGAGACAAGGGTGGAAAGCTCATACGTTATAAGAAGGAGACAGGCAACATGTTGTTGCATCGAAACGTAGAGGGGGGAGAGGGTGACAATTCTTATTTAAAATGTTTGTTTTGGAACACGTCCCCCCCCCTCCTGCCTCAGAACTTACAATACAATTACCGGCACTCTTACTATATGAGAGGTGCTTAAATGAATAAAGTTTCTGTCGTAATAAAAATGGGGAAAAGATTGGATATGTGGATGATACATGGAAAATTCCCAAAATTACTGGTGTAAAGTTGATTAAAAAAACATTTAAAGTCACTTTCGTCCTTTTAAAATATTTGAATCAAAGGATCTTTTGTGATGTCAAGAACTGTACGAGATTTTTAGAAAAATTAAAGATCTTCAAGAAACTCAGATATATTTGAAGATATTTACAATTTTTGTAGCCATCAGTCTCAAATTCCGCTCTTATGTCAAGCGAAAGAAGTATACAAAATATTACTGATTAACGGTTTAAAGCACATTTAAGCGTAATTTTTTCTTTTGGATGATAATAGATCAAACATCATAACAAATCAAGCGAATTTAATTAATGGTTTTCAGTAAAACAATTGATGTATAGCCTACAGGGTGCAGCTATTCAGAGACGTGATTAATGTGTTTGGTGTTGAAGCCAGATTAATTAGCTTTCTCTTTCGTGTTTGTCGGGTGCTTTTTTGATCACGGAGAGCAGCCTCTTTTCTTTATGGTAGAAGAAGTACTTCTGCCTTGCTCTGAGGTGTCTGAATTGACAACGGTAAGATTACTTTATTTCAGTTGCACCAACGCATACATAAAACTACAACTCCTTTCAAGCGAGTTTAAAATTAGTTCAAACTAGGCCAGGTAACTTTCCATCCTTAGATGGATGCGACATTCGCTTTAAAGATTTCACGACTGTTTGGAGGGGAAGAAAGATCGGCCAGCCCGGGAAACAACTTGAAGTTTCACCACGCTTTCTTGTCCCATCCTTGAAAAAATGTTAGTGATGCTATTTCAGGGATACGGCTCACGATTTTATGACAACATTTGGTGACTGTATCAACTTATCGAATGAACTCGAATGGCTATTTGGAAAATAATTTAGATACAAGCTTGCATAGACTAGTAAAACTATAGTTTCCTTGCCACTAATAATCAAAGTCCTGTCACCGTTGTGATTTCAAATTTTGCAACTACTTACGATCCGCCTCAAATGTAATCCTTGACTGATCACAAGCGCGTTTGTTTCAAGTCTCATCAAGCTAATGAAGAGAACTGCAGCAAAAAATCTTTCAACCATACGTGACTCGCTCGGGCTTTAAGTGCAGGTCCCCTCGCAACACTGTTCATATTTTTTCATTGGAGCAGAGATCAAGCCAGTCTAATCCGCGGTTATCGTGTCTGTTTTGCGCTTTGTTGTTATCCATGTATGCGGACTACGAAAAGAACTTTCATATTGTCCTTGCGTCGGTTTTTTTTCTTACTTATTCTCTTTCCGATTGCCTAGCCTTACACACGCATTTTTTGTTTCAGTGTTTCTATTTGTGTATGTTAGACAAATCACTGGCATCGATTTTATGTGAATCACATTTGAAGGTAACTATCTCTTAATGATAATGATTATAACAACTTTATTATTTTACTTATATAGCGCGTTGCGGTGCGGTGTACAATATTCTTTAGGAATGGTATGGAAGCAAAGAATACATATGGAATTGTAATTTAATGTGAACAGGGAGGGAGTGGGGGTGGGGTAAGCTCAATCTTACCCCCCGTCTCACTTCTTCCACGCTAAGGAAGGGTATCGTACCCAACTTAATGACGAATTTTCCAGACTTTTGTAGAGCGAAAGAACCTCGAAAAATAATTAAGGTTAACGTGTCGAGGCACATCCTAGTGTTGTTTGCTGCGGAGGGATGATGGACAAAGAATCAAACCAAAGCAAATTCAATAGTTGTCAGTAAAACAATTGATATTAAACTTGCAGAGTGCAGCTATTTAGGGAGGTAGTTAAGGTGTTCTGCCTGAAGGCCAAAGAAATTTTCGCTTTCGCGTTCGTCGAGTGTTTTGTTGACTACAGAAAGCAGCTTATATTCTTTATCGCAGATGATCAATCACCACCAAAAAGTTCCCAAAACTTGGCAGGAGCAAGTACCTAAGTTTCATTTGCATGAAATTTATGAGTAGCAGATACAACTCTTTTCAAACGAAAACTACTTCCTAGAATTACTACATTGGAAGAGAAGGAGCATCTTGAGACAGTAACAAGATGAAATTTAACCGCGATTTCTCCCATCTTCCTTAACACAAATTCCCCTACATCAGTGAAAATGTTATTGATGTTATTTTGTTATGCTTTGTAATTTCTTTAATCTAATATTCTGAGTTTATCAACTCAACCAAAGAACTTCTATATTTGGTCGGGCACCGAATAGCTTCAATACTTCAAAGCAGGTTGCTTCTTATTTCAAATGGATTTCTTAACTCAAGCTGAAGAAGGTCTTTACCAGCTCTATTTTCAGTTTAAGTCATCCTTTCATTCAAGTTGACTATTTTTCAACGATCAAAGTTTGTTTGAGAAAAGTAACCAGTAAAATACAAACTATTTTCTCTTAACTGACGTAACCCAAAAACCTGTCTTTCTTACTTCAGCAAAACAAAAGCAGTTCAAATGGCCCATTGATATGGCGTCAAAATTATTCGATCATCGCTTTATAAGTATCGTGTGGCCTTCCAATTAAATCTCTCGAAGTCTCTTGTCCTGTCTTGCTTAGAGACGTGATTTATGTGCATTGCGACGAAGCCAGATTAGCTTTCGCATGCGAGTTCCTCAAGTGTTTTGTTGACTACAGAAAGCAGCATATATTCTTTATTGCTGATAAAGTATTATTACCTCACGAAAAGTTTCTAGAACTTTGACAACGTGAAGCAAACTTTAATTCACTTACCTGAAAGTTATGCGTAGCAGATACAACTCGTTTCAAACGAAAAAGAAACAAGCGAACATTGTAGAATACTTATCTTGATACGAAACACGC